CAACCATATTTAATAAAATAAGCCCAAAAAACCGCAACCCGCGACCTGGGATTTTTTCACGCAACTTTACAAAAAAAAGAAGCCCAAAGTCGCGTATAATACGCGGACTTGGCAACTATGACACAGACCCGTTCACGTTTGAACTCACGTGGCTTGCTGCATGCTCTCATTCACGTCCTCCACATTCATAACCCAGCAACGTCGGGTTACTTGTTACTGATATCAACCCAAATTGGGTCAAATCAAGCCAGCTTCCTAACCCAACAGTCTCATCCGAGCGTTTGGATTGAAACAATTACCAACGTGTTTTATATGTGTAGGCTATAAAAAAGTACGTTTTTTTTAATGTTTTCGCTTGCAAATATAAGATTGTTGTTAGGTCATACATACCACGTAATATTAGAATAGGTACCACTTAGTTTCAAAATACTTGCAGTAGAAATAATTTGTAATCTTACAGATTATTACTCCTTTATTCCCCAAACTTCGCATATTGTTCCCTTATAACTACACGGAGGTATTGAATAGGTACACTGTAATTACAAAAAAGTTACGCGTAAATTCTGTTTACTTATGCAGTACATTGCGGGTTGTAATCTAAAGCGTTACCAAGTTTTCACATCTGCAGAAATTAAAACTACATCAGAAGATACACACTGGTGTGAGAGATCATATGTGCTTTGAATGTGAGAAGACTTTTATTACTGCTGATCATTTGAAGCAGCTCCAGAGGATCCACACTGGAGAGAAACCTTACAAGTGTTCACACTGCGACAAGAGATTCAGTCATTTAGCAAGTCTGAAAAGACATGAGAGGATCCACACTGGAGAGAAACCTTACAAGTGTTCACACTGCGACAAGAGATTCAGTCATTTAGCAAGTCTGAAAAGACATGAGAGGATCCACACTGGAGAGAACCCGTATCACTGCACTGCATGTAGGAAGAGTTTCCGTCATTCATCTAATCTACGCAGATATACAAAAAAGATTCACAGTCAATAGATCATCTTCAGATCCAGCACTTTCAGGTCTGATGTTGCATCTTCACCAAACGTGACACAATAATGCATAAAGAAATAAAATCTCTTCTGTATACATCTGTCCTAACAAAGAAATGTCATCTAAACTCACAGTGAATACATTTCATCTTCAAGACCAGCAGTTTCAACTGTAACATTTATAAGGGCTTCAGCCTCTGAAGAATCACCTGAAAGTTCATACAAAGGAAAGCCACATTCATGTTCTTTATGTGGAAAGAGTTTTTCACATCTGCAGAGTTTAAAAGTTCATCATAAGATACACACTGGTGTGAGAGATCATATGCGCTTTGAGTGTGAGAAGACTTTTATTACAGCTCAACATTTGAAGCGGCACCAGAGGATCCACACTGGAGAGAAACCTTACAGTTTCATCTGCAATATTCAAATTAACTCAAAGATGGAGTTCCTCCTCAAAGAGCAATATCTAAAAGTTTTATTCTTGTATATCATTTTATTTCATAATATATCATTATATAATATATCAATATGAAGGAAAGTAGTTTTTTACATGTGCAAAACATTCAGGAAGCTGAAGAAGAGGCTGTAACGCTTTTAAGTGAGACTGAGAAAATCCAGATGCAAGATGTACTGTAGCTTTGCAACTGATCCTCCTTTGCTCCTTTTGTAAGTACGGATGGTACCAGAACCCAGTAGAATAGTAGAATCTGCTTTAGGTATTGGATAAATTAAGAAAATACCATTTATTTAATAGTAAAATGGCCATTTATTATTGTTACATAAATGTTATCTGCTGAATAGTTTCTCGCCAAAAGTGTCTATATAATATTAATACATTCTATGATGCGTCTTTGTTATTCACAGTCCAGAAGAGAGATCTCTCTTGCGCTTTAGGCCTGTGCAATTAATCTAATTTTATTTTCGATTTTGAGTTTGGCGTCCAATGATTATGAAAACAAAATATTTGAGGTAAAGCGATTATTGTGCTGCATTCTGTTTAATACACACTGTAAAAATGACCATGATTTTAATGGTAAAATACTGTAAAAATGCTACAGTAAAAACCTATTAATTGGTTAACGTTAAGTTCCCCTACTATATACGGTGAAAAACTGCATTGGGTATTACATGTAATTTTACGGTAATATACAGTTTTTGGACGTGAAAAAATAATGTGTAATTTACAGTGAAAAACCATAAATTGACATTCCCAGAATTCCCTTTTACATTTCACATTTGATGTATTTTTCGTTGAAATAACTCTGTTTCTTCTTAGTTTTTTTCTCATCAGTTATGTTCGTTAGGGTTGTATGTTACATCTAATATTGTTAAATGAATGTCTACGGCATTATTTCAGTTTCATGTGTGTTACCATTGTAAGATTGAAGAACCTCAGACACTTTGATCAACTGAGATACACTCAGACACTTTGATTAAACTGTAAGACTGGAAGATCTTCTGAGATACAGACAATACACACACAGTGTATTAACATACAGACATTCGTTTTGACATCTCACTGAGAGAAGATGTGAGAAAAGTCCCTTCTCACCCATCCTTTAAAAAACTTTTTAAGTGAACAGTAATGCCAGCCAGAGCGAAAACCACGTTAGCCTAACCCGAACGTCACATCACAGAAACAGCAAACTAAGTGGGAAGCAGCACACTCAAATAGCAAGCAGTTAACAATACAGCACAACTGACAGAGCGAGCGGCAACCGATGAGCCGGACGCTGTGGAAGACGTAACAGGGCAGAGAGCTCGCAGCAGCCCGATGGCAGAACTTAAAGGTACCAAAGTTGGTTAGTATCAGTTGTCAAGTTCCAAGATGAGTCCAAAACGCTAACAATGAGAGGTAGAGTAAAAGAAACAAAGAAGACCAAAAATAGTCCAGCAGAGGGGTGAAAACATACAAAAAGAGTAGTCCAGGTACGGAACGGCAGCCAGACACGCATAGCGTTCCCGACCCGGAAGTGTTTCCAAGTGGCCCAAGTGTTCAAGTGAGGATGAAGACCACAAGTGTGTGTCGAACTCCATTACCTGATGGGACACACTTATAGTGTTGTAAAAATGCAAGTGTTTACATAGCTTTATTTTAATTTTAAATACTTTGCATTTTAAAAACAACTTCTAAATGTCTGTTCAGTAGTCCCTATAGCATGACATAATTTTAATTTGTGGTGCTTCTAATTAAGTGCTAAAAAGCAGTTGCAAATATTGTATGAAATACATTTCACCACTACTCATCTTTGCACCAATAAAACGTAAAAACACTGTTTGTCTACCAAATTATATGTAATATCTAATTATTATATTAATATTTAACTTACATTGGAAAGGTTTCAATGTTGCAAAGATCGGCAAAAAGTCTCACGATTTATTTCCAGAACATGATGCATGATGGGATACACTTAGCCTCGAATAGCGCTCTGGAGAGGTATTCAAGATAGTCTGGATTTAGAGTGCGCTAAGGGCACTGCACTTTGCCTTTTTAAGAATTGGGACAGTCTTGTGCACTTACT